ATTTTATAGATATCTATTTAATAAGTCCATTTGTTCAGGTGTCCAGTTCAATTCTGATATTGCTTTGTTTATTTTTTTGTTTAGTTGATCTATTTGTGACAGTAGGGTATTGAGGTCCCCACTATAATTATGTTGATGTTTATTTGAACTTTTAGGTTTGATTTATGAAGTTGGGTAGATCAGTGTTTGGTGCATATATGTTTTTAGTTGTTACCTCTTCATGTTGAATTGTTCCCTTAGGCAATATATAGTGACCTTCTTTGCTTCTTCTGATCAGTTTTGGCTTGAAAAATGCTAGGGAATCATTGTCAGGTTTATTCTGATATCCTATCAGCTGTGAGAGCAGGTCCAGGTTAATGACTAATGATTATTATTATTTTTGTTATTTGGGAGGATGGAATCCAGGGCCTCATCCATGCTAGGCCAGTGTTTACCACTGAACTAGATTACCAGCCCCCAAGGTAATGGCTTCTTAATGGCAAAATCCCCACAGCCTCTCCTGCAGATTCTTCAGTGACTCTTCCCCATCTGGATTTTCATAACTCTTGGCTTTAAGACTCCACTCCCTTATTCACCCACTCACTCTCTTCAATTCTACATCTTCTACTTTTTTTGTTTTCTTTTTCTTTGCTCATCCTCTTAATTTGAGGTTTTCTTCTGTTGTTGTTGTTGTTGGTACTGGGAATCAAACTCAGGGTCCTGTACCTGCCAGGCAGGCGCAGCACCGCTGAGCTACATCCCCGGCCCTAATTTGAGATTTTCTTGAATTTTTTTCTATCTGGATCTACCCATTCTCCCTCATGTGGTCCACTACTGCTTGTGCATCAAAAGCCCCCAGATCCATATCTCTAGTCTCTTTCTTGAGCCCAGAGTTGAATTTTCAGGTGTCTGCTGGATGCCTCTCACCACATTGAAAACTAAGCTCACCATTTTCTTATTCAAGCCATGCTCTTTTTACAATATTTATCAGTTTGCCAGAGTGACCAGTCACCTTGTCCCTTTCCACTAAGTTCCTCTTCCCTCCTTGAGCCCTCCCTGCCACACTCATAATGTCATTGCCAGCTGTCTGCTTGGCACCCCCGCAGCAGATTCCTGCCCATGCTCCCTGTTCGGGAGAAAAGAGAAGGATAGACATTAAAACAAGCACTGTTTGAAAGCCGAGCTTTGCCTTGACATGTGAAAAAACAATTCTTTTGAAAAATTTTATGAATTTTTTTTAAATGAAGTATTTATCTTCACTTATAAAAAGCAGAGGAAAAAATCATTATAGCTATAGAAGACCAATCTGTGATTAATCTTTTCGTTTCACTAAAGGATCTTTTTTCATTTTTATGATTCTCCACAGGAGAATCAAGATAAATGAGTTTATAGAATTATACATCAGGCCCCGAGAATAAAGATGGAGAAGTTAAAACACAGGATACCAAGTGACAGCCCACTCAATCACTCTGTTGGAGGTCAATTGTTCATCTATAAAACAAAGGATTAAATGTTCACAGATAATGGTATTTCAGTAAAACAGTTTTGCTATTTTAACGAGGGAGTTACAGTATTGATGAATCCAAATCAACTTTATCTTGCCCTTTTACTTAATCAAATTTTATTTCTAAAAGCATGATGATTTACTTGACTAATTTTAATCTCTCCACAGTATATATAAAAATTATAGATATGTAACAGCATATAAATGGAAAATAAAGCAAGTACAATGACTCTATAAGTTGTAGAGTTTAAGTTCTAATATTTTCTACTTCTGAGTGCTAGATATGAGAGTCAAAAATGGTGTCCACTGATCTAGACACAGTGTATTCTTTAAAGCCTGTGAAATTGTTCCCAGTAGCAAGTTGCCTAGCATAACCAATTAGCACTTTTCTGCTCTAGGCAAAACTGACTTCTGTTGCCTCAGACCTCTTCTCAGAGAACACCTGATTCTCTGGAGTTATTTTGTAATCTATCTTTGTAACTTACAAATTTTTAAAAAATTTTTGGCTTTTTGAGACAGGGACTCACTATGTAGTTCAGGCTGGCCTTGAACTCACTAAGTAGCCCAGGCTGGGCTCCAACTCACAGTGATCCTCCTGCCTTAGCCTCCTGAGTGCTGAGATTGCAGGCGTGTACCGACACACCCAGCTAATTCAAGTATTTTTGACCCTTACTATATGCCAAGCATTGCTCTGTGTGCTAGAGAATTAATTGAATAGTGTAATGAATTAATTAAATAAGGTTGTACTATCAGTCTGGGATTGGTTCAGAAAACAGAACCATGGCATCTAGTGTAGCTGTAAAGAGTTAATGGAGGAATCTGGGACATTGGAATGTAAAGATCAGAGTAGGGCATGTGGAGAAGCAGCCCGATGCTCGCGCCTGGGAGGAAAGCCGTGTGGACTTTTCGCGTCCCGCCACCCTCCAGAAATAATGGCCTCGGCTTCACTTTGCCTTCCAAGGGGGCAGGAGTCCTGTCTCTGGCAGACTGCGGCGCTGTTGGGACCTGGCGCTGAGCGGCACAGGCCTCAGCAGGACTGGTGCTGAGGTTAGGAGCGAGCTGCACAGCGGCGCGCCCGGGTCCTGGGCTCACATACTCTGTCCCTGCCCCGGCTGCTCCTAGTACGTCTCTGCAGCTCATCCATGACTAGAGTGTTGCTGTCTTGCGCTTTTCTGTGGAAGCACCTGAGAGTGCTTCCTGTGGCTAGACATTTTCTGAGCGTTGTTAAAATACTACTGATTTCTCCCGGACCTGTTTCTGGAGCTCTCAACCTGCTCCAAGTTCCCTCTTTAAACATTGCTTGTCCCTTATCACTCCATGAGCAAAGCCCCACGGTGTCAGTGCAGCGAACATGAATTTCATCAGTTACTTCGATTCCCAGGTTTAGTAGAGAAATATACAAATAAAGACTACATGACTAGCTCTGAAATACTGAGAATCTCAATATTTGCATTTGCTGGATACTGGATACGAAGTCCAGGGTGAGATTATAGAGTAGAATCTGTTTTTGACATTGGCAGAATCTGTTTTTGAAACGTTGATACTGCACTTTACCTGCTGATTCCAGGCAGTGGGCTGAAATTTAATCTGCCTGTGGTTAAAATGACCCCTCAGCAACCAACCCTGTGTGCCCTCTCTGTGCCCATTCACCTATGGGTGGTTTTAATATTTTAATATCTTCAGTGACTAAACAAGTGATGAGTAATTGCAATCCAACTCAGTATAGGGTTTTTACCAATAATTATTTCTTTTTAAATGACTGCATTAGAAAAACTTGAAAGGCTTGGATGTACATTTTCTGAATCCTAAGTGGTTGAGAAATAGGATGTAGCTAATGAAGCAATTGAATATGTGAATAATTATAATTCTTAGTGTGCTCTTCCATTGATCAGAAAGATGTAGACATTGTAATAGTTGAGGTAAATGGTTAAAATTTATGTACTGAATAAATTGTTATTGTTAATAGTTTTAATCATGACTCAAATATAGATTATGCATACATGATTGATTTGTTTCTATCTTGGGTTCTTTGGTCAACAGTTATTCAAATTACGTTAGTTTTATGATGTGACAGTAAATGCTATCAGCTCAAAATTATGGAATTATTTACATTGGGCCTCAGTACACAAAATTTGGCTTAAGATAATACCTTGAAGGAAAATGGGTGGATCTGGAAATCATCATCTTGAGCAAAATAAGCCAGACTCAGAGAAACAAATGTCACATTTCTCCTGATATTTGGACCTCACAAAGGATGATGTGAGAGTAGAAGAAAGAATGTTATTATACAAGAGGAAGGGAATCAGTGAGAGGGGTAATGGGGGATGTATATGAGAAAAATATATGCATCAAAACCAAATAGTTTATAAAATTCATTGGCACTAATAATAGAAATAAATAAAAATAGTTTCATTTGTGGTACCAATGTAGGACTTCACATCAGAATTTGAAGTCTGAGTCATGCTAATAAATTTTAAAATCTAGAATAAATAGATGCTTTTCTACAAAGATGCAAAATATTAAAATTGACTCAAGAGGAAGGGAAAGTAAAAAGAATCAGGATGTATTATATACATGTGCCAAGTCCCCACGAGGAATGTGATCATTCTGTACTGCGAACGTGGACTGGTAAAAATTTTAAAAATAAAATTGACTCAAGAGAAGAGAAATAAAAGATGTTGAAAAATAGCCAGGAATTCTGAAGCTGGCTCTAGAATCAGATGTCCTGAAAGTGGAATTGTAGATCTGCCATTTATTAGCTGTAACTTTGGCAAATTCTCTGACTTTTCTGTGCTTCAGTTTTCATAGCTATAAAGTTAGAAAAGCCATTAAGAAAGTTTGCTGAAATAAAATCTCTGTGGGGCTGCTGTTAGTGTAGGAATGCAGTGCGCACTGGGGAAATGTTGCTTCTTTTACTCCCTACGAAGGCCAGGCGAACTGTAGCTATCGAGTATGTCAAGTCTAATTTGTTGATTGTATAATAAAAATATGTTTATAGAAGATGAAGCCTGGTGATGTTAGTTGTAAAATAACATCAGCAAGTAGATGATCCACTAGTTTTTCTAAAATACTTAAATTTTAAAATTCTTTTTGAATTTTCTAAACATCTCAGATGACAGGCTGGTAATAAATTCAGGTGTTTTGTTTTGGGGGAGATTGTGCTACAGGGGATTGGAGCCAAGTACTTTACATTTTTGCATGAGCTACATCCCTAGCCCTTTTGTATGTTTTACTATGTCTTTTTGTATTTATTTTATTATGTCTCACAAAACCACAAAGTTGCCCAGTCTGGGCTTGAACTTGTGATCTTCCTGCCTCAGCCTTCCAGAGTTATGGGATTACAAACATGTGTCGCTGTGCTGGGCATAAATTCAGAATTATATTTAAAGTGCAGTATGAACTCATCAGATTTACTAAATAAATATTTTGTGCTTTGAGACTTTATGTGTTGCTGTTTAAACAGAGCAGACCACATATAGATTATTCAGTGATGCATGAAAATTACCCTCCTTAACAGGTAAATATTGGGAAGATGGACTCACCCATTGAAAAATGGAACCTCATAATTGGCAACTTGGCTTTAAAGCAGGTAAGTGATATGCACATTTGTTTACAGATCTTGAGTTTATGGGTTGTAGGTGCTGGTTTTGTATTTAATTTTTTTTTAAAACAGGGTCTTGCTCTGCTGCCCAGCCTGATCTCAAACTCCTGGGCTCAAGTGATCTTCCTGCCTCAGCCTCTCAGAGGGTAGATGGGAATAAAGGCTTGTACCACCACTGCAAGGCCTACTTTAATTTTTTTGAAGCGTATTATTTGTTTAATTAAACTGAGCTCTTTTCTACATATTTTGGTCAGCCATTTGTTTGTTAGGGTTAACATAACAAGTGCATCCAATTACCCATAACGTAGGCACTAAAGCAAAGGTTAAATGTAGGCCCTGGGTCTTTCTAATCTCAGCTATGGATCTCTCCTGCCTCTCCAGCGTTCTCCCCCAGCTCCCCATCAGAAGTCTGCATCTCCTGCTGGTGACCGCAGCTAGCGTGAGCTGAGGGGGTGCACACTCACATTAACGTTAGCTCACCCAGGGTGTACGGTTGAGAATATGGTTGCAGGAATATAATTTCATGTAATGCATTTCAGAGACAAAGGAGTTTTTAGAATATGGGCCATGTTTTAAAAATCTGTGCAACTGCGACTAAGATGTAAGAATCTATGCAGAGCTGGTTATCAAAATATTTAACAACCAAGAGGGTACTAAAAACACAAATTTGAAAATATATTTGATTCTGTTCTTTACATACCCTAAACCAGTGAGGGCAAACCTTTTAGAGCTTTAATAACAAACAGCCCGCTGTGGCACACATGCCATAGATTCGCCACCACTGCCCTAAACTGGGGGGAGGGGGTTAAGCCAGGGCCTTTGTGTTCAGCCACATTCCCAGCCCTTTTTATTATTCTTATTTCTTAAATTTTGAGACAAAGTCTCACTAAGTCATTAAGTTGCCCAGGCCAGGCTTGGCCTCCTGCCTCACCCTCCCAAAGTGCTGGGGTTACAGGTGTGCACCACTGCGCTTGGGTTAAACACCCTAAGCTCTTATGAAGCAATATGAGTTGTACATCATTCATCAGACCATTCCATACTTTCCATCTCAGCCTTTAACTTTCTTTCCACTCCTAGTCTCCACCTTTCTCCCAGTATCTGCTCGTGGTGCTCACTAGAGCTGGCTAGGGATTTTGGCTGTCACTGCCCGATGTCTGTGTGTCTGCCTCACTCCTCATGGGTGTGTGAAGACCAGGGAAGCCAAGCAAGTCCATCAAGACCCCATCGTGCCAGCCAGGGAGGCTGCTGGGTTGGAGCCCAATTAGCAGCAGACAAAAGCAAGAGGAAGAGAAGACAGGGTAGTGGGCAGTGTGGGGATACAGGTTATTCTCTCCCCAGGGCTTGTCCTACTACAGCTTGTAAAGGAGAAAACGAGTGTGTGGCAGGGCATGATCTGGACTGGCATTCACACCCCTTTCTGGGTATGGAGGGTAGATATAAAACTTTGGATCCTCCTGCCTTAGTCTCCCATGGTGTTGGCCTGCACCACTACATCCAGCTGTGAAGTTGTATTTGAATGTCTTTCTCCAGTGAGTAAGAGCTCTGTGCAGCAGGGAAGATTTTCTGACTACTGTTGCAGCCCCGTGCAAAGCTTAATGCACTGTGCACAGTGGAATCTGAGCAAGTTCTGGCTGAAGCCGGGTTTGGAGGTGCATGCCTGTAATCCCAGATACTGGTGAGGTTGGGAGGCAGGAGGCTCGAAAGTTCGTGGCCAGCCTGGGCAATTTAGCCAGCTCCTGTCTCAGAGACAAAAAGAAAAACGGGGTCTGTGGGTGTAGGTCTGTGGTAGAGCCCATGCCTAGATGTGAGCAGCCCCCTGCACTGCAAAAAACAAGCACCAACAACCAAAAGACCCTAACAGACAAACAAAAGCTAAGTGAATTAACGGATATAAGTACGGTAACCTGCCCAGGCTGAGGCACGGAGCAGGAAGGAGACTGCACCATTAGATCGTGGCATCAGCGTCAGCATGACGCTGGGCCCTCTGCAGTCACAGGCCGCTCCACACCCACTGTCAAAAGCGCGAGCCCTCTCAGGGACCCTGAAACCAGAGTACCCAGCTTCTTCCAGGGCTGCTGCGGCCCAGTCACCTTGGGCAGTGGTTTCTTCTCACTCCTTATGTAGATGTTGACGGGGGAAAATTCTAAATGTTTTAAAAGTTTCTAATCCGGTTGGATTTTATGTTTAGGTTCAGGCTACGGTAGTTGGTTTTCTAGCAGCTGTGGCAGCAATTATATTGGGCTGGATTCCAGAAGGAAAATATTACCTTGATCATTCCATACTTCTGTGCTCCAGCAGCGTGGCGACTGCCTTCATTGCGTCTCTTCTGCAGGGTAAGTGTGTAGGTAAATGCCTGCTCTACAGTCTGTCCGTCTGTTCATTCATTTGTTCTTTCTTTCCTTCTTTTTTTGAGACAGGATCTTCCTGTATATTCCAGGCTGGCCTAGAACTTGCAGCAATCCTCCTGCCTCAGCCTCCTGAACACTGGGATTATAGGCCTGCATCACCATGCTCAGCTAGTCTTTCATTTTTAAATCATTTATTTCTCAAGATGATGACTTTATTTAAATGATACTGTTCATGATTAAAACAGAAGAAGGTCATCCCAGATTTTAATAGTGTTGCCTAGAGCTGGCTTTCTGAGGCCATCCTTGGGCCTTGGATGCTCTGCTGTATTCCCCCAATAAGATCAGGAAAATAGATGACCCATTGGTTTATTTCTGTGAGTCAGATAATTGAGAAAATCCTTTCTGGAAACTGCAGAGATTTACTGGCTCATCTCTTGAGTAACGAGTGTTCCGGGAATTCCGAGTTTCAAAAGCAGTTCCTCTGTTAAAAACTTTTAAAGTTTCAGGTTTCGGGAAAAACATGCCTTCACTGTTTCTGTGGCAATACAAATATAACCTTATCCCAGGACAGCTCACTCTTGGCAACAGAATGTTCAAGAGTCAGGAGCTTTAAGAGTAACTTCTCTGTTAGGTTATCTTTAGTTGTGTTTATTAATGTAAGCATTATACTAGACAACTAGTTTATGATGCAATCATCAGAAGGCCTGGCTCCTCTTACTTTATTCCTGCCGTCCTCCTGCCTTTTCATCACTAGCAAAATTAGAAATGGAAAACTGATGCCAGGCGATCGCACAGTACAGCTGCCTTTCTAGCTAGATTCTGGGAGTTTAGGGAATTCTTATCAAAATTCAGATGACTTCCGAAATACTCTCAAGCATTTTTAGTATTTAAATAATATCAGGAATAGTTTCTGGTCCTCACATGGAATTACTAGAGTTGAATGGAGTTAGCACTGGCTAAGCAAAATGAAGTTAAACTACTGGAAAATTGAATATCTGGTAAAATAAAAAATTATTATAGTATAAATACCCTGTTTATAGGCTCACTTCTGCTTTCTTTGTGATTTGACTTCATTTATTTATTATCATTATTATTATTTTAAATTATTTATTTATTTACTTATTAGATTTGGACAAAAAACAAAAAAAGTTTTCAGTGTAAGCCAAGTGTGGCAGCACACCTGTAATCCTAGCACTCTGTGGCTGAGCCAGGAGGATCACTGTGAGTTCGAGGCCAACCTGGGCTACATAGTGAGTTCAAGGCCAGCCTGACCTACATATCGAGACCCCATCTCAAAAAAAACAAGAAAAATTCCAGTTTTTAAAATTCTGTACATTTGTTTAAAGCTTCTTACTTTGAATAGTGTGTGTTATGGTTTTATGATACCCTAAATGTTTAACCACCTTAACATATGTAAGGCAGGGGAGAAAGCCCACCCAGACTGTCAAGTTTCATCAGCCAGTCAGCTACACAGCCAAATAAAACCAGAGCTATCTGACTCCAGCCCTCTTCTTCTGGCCATGCTGCATGTGAAATTTGTTTTCAGCTGAAAATACAAAAGGGGTGCTGTCTTGGAGGACTGCCCACACCCATCTTTAAATGTGCTGATTTGGGAGAAAAGGTTTCTGTTATCATTACAATCACATCTTGTTGGACTATGGCATGACAAAGTATTTTTTAAACTTTTCTGCTATGGATTTTGTTGTGGTTGGGGGGGGGGTTGCTATTTTTGCAATGATACTATGAAAAAGGAAAGTTCAGTAATTGAAAAAGCTCCCAGAGTATAAGATGCAAGACATTATTGATATAAGATAGAATTCTGCATTGTACATCTATGGCTTTGTGGAATACTGTAAAAACACTGGTCTAGAATCATAAGTGGGTGACCGTAGGCCAAATTTAAACCCTGCTCCCCAGAACCTTAGGTATATTAGACATAACTTCAGTATTCTGGAATTAAATACATACGGTCATTTTATTCTAAAGGTACGGTGAGATTCTGTTAATTCTTTTCCATAGCTAAATTTAGGTTTCATATTGACTTACAGTTTGTACATAAATCAACCAAACATTTACAGTTTCCTCTGTATTGCATCTTCTTAATGGACGTGTTGGCAGGAGCCCGGTTTGTATAATTGGATATAGACATAAGCATTATTTTTCTCCCTTTAATATGATTCAAGAAAATAGGGATTTAAAAGTGCCACTGCAGAGTCACTTTTTCATCTTCTGTTATTTTGGTTTAGAGCTATAGGCAGAAATTGGGCGTTTAAAGCGTATCTTTTAGCTAAGTGTAGTGGCGTAGGTCTGTAATCCCAGCTACTCGGAAGGCTGAGGCAGGATAATCACAAATTTGAGGCCAGCCTGGGCAATTCAGCAAGACCCTGTCCTAAAAAATGGAGGTCTGGGAATGTAGTTCAGCACTCCCTGGGTTGAAAACCCATTGTGGCAAAAACAAAACAAATTAACAACAAACCCTATAACTTTTACAAAGACCATTTCATGTGTTCTGTACTTCACTGTTCAAAATTTAATTACTTCCTGCTTCTTAATCTTTCAACACTTAATAATAAAATGAAACAGACATTTCTAGCTACCGTATGTGGACAAATCTGGTTTGGTGGTCTCCTTCCCAGTTGCTGTGCATATAAATGGGACTTGCCTTTCTTTGGTGTTCCCATGCTTTATTTGAAGGTTAAAATGTAAGTCTTTGAGCTTGATACACACAAATATATTACATCTAAGACATCTAAAATTATTATCAAATTGGAAATTTTAGCTCTAATATCATTTCACAGTAGCATTCAGTTCTTTAAATGCAACATTGAGCCTCTCAGATCTTTTATGTGTTTTGCCAAAGCATTAAAGGAGTAAAATGTTTTGTTTGTGTAATCAGCTTATCCAAGCAGTCTAACCAGAACTGATACACTGTTTATCCTGTATATTTTAGTATTTGGGGTATTGATTTTCTTTGAATCATAGCATCAAAAGTAATAAACATTCTTTCTTCTAGGAATAATAATGGTTGGCGTTATTGTTGGTTCAAAGAAGACTGGCATAAATCCTGATAATGTTGCCACGCCTATTGCTGCCAGCTTTGGTGACCTTATAACTCTAGCCATATTGGCCTGGATAAGTCAGGGTTTGTACTCCTGTCTAGGTAAGCAGACTTGAAACTAAATTATATACCCAGAGTGTTTCTGTAAATATTGGTGCAGCAGGGCCATGAAACCGTGGTGACTCCCATCTGTTTTACCACTGTTGTTGGGACTCACTAGAAGAATATATAATTTCTTACATAGCTGCTGTGTGTTGTGGTTCTCACATATTTTTTCTCTTACGGAGTTTATAACTTTGTAAGTTAAGGGTCCTCATCTCTAACTTCAGGCTAAAGAAACTGAGGATCTCAGATGTTCTGGATCTGGACACACACAACCCTGGGTAGAGAGGCTGGACACAGGTCTGTCCATGGTCTCTGCTTGCTCTTCTAACTGTGCAGCCAGCCAGGAGTGAGTGTGTTTTGTGTCCTGCAATACCATCAGAAAACGTGAGGCTGTGGCGGACTTAGGATTGCCCAGTGGGATGTTCCCCCATCAGAAACACAGACCAAGTTTGTGAAGTGGGGCGGCTCATATGCATGCAATTCCTGATGCACAGTGATAGAGAAATTATAAGATCTAATGGGTTATTTTAATGCAAATTTGTATTCTGGGACTGCTGTCAATGGTAAATGAATGTGACTTGTGAGCATTGGGTAAATGGTAAATGTTAGTTGTGCTTTCATTTTTTTCTTTTAGATGTCATATCAAAAAAAAAAGGAAAATATAAGATAATTTACAAGCCATGCCAAAAGTAAACCTTTATTCAGATATCCTCACATATTTTATGAATTTATACAGATTTGTGGCATACTTTAAATAATGTGGTATACTTGGAATGGGTGTCTAGCTCAGTGGTAGAGCACTTGCCTAGCTTTTCCGGGGTCCTGGGCTCAATCCCAAGTACAGGAAAAAAAAGTATCTGAGCCTCTTCCTTCAAATATAGTATACTTTAGGTGTTTGTTTGTTGGTACTGGGCCCTGTGATGTGAGGCAAGCACACTGCCGCTGGGCCACATCCCCAATCATCTTTATTTGAGACAGGGATTTAGCTAGCCAGGCTGGCCTCAACCTTGTAATCCTCCTGCCTCTGCCTCTCTAGTAGTGGGATTTCAAAAGGGTACCACCACATCTGACAGAGATATGTTCTTGAGCTAAAGAAAGGGCCTTAACTTACCAAATGCAATCATTTGCACAACTTCAGGACCAAGAAAAGCTTCATTTAGTGTATAAAATTATCTTAAGTTATTTAATAAGTGACATAAAAGCAATATTCAGTAAGACTTGATATGTATATTCAGGGAAATTATTTTTTCATTTAAAAGATAAAGATGTGTCCACTTGAGGTAGAAATAAGACAATAAGTGATCGATGACCTAAAGGTAAGACCTCATTCCCATAGATCTTGGCTTTTCATCAGTGCACAAAGAATGATATATGTTCAAGTGTATTCAGGGTGCTGCTCAAATCCCTACCACTCACAAAATTTTTTTGAAACACAGAAAATGAGTTATTAAAGAGATAATCTTAAATCTTCTCTAATTTGTATTGTTGGGATGATAAATTGGTCCGATCTTTCCCTTCTGTAAGGTATTATATAATGTAGAAATGAAGTCAGGGATCGAAACAGTAGATTACGGTGGGTGTCAGGGATGGCGGCATAGCAACCTCTTACCCAGCAGCTCACAGGCAAACAGCTGGACACTTGTGGTCCTCACCCCACAGCAGGGGAGCAACTGCACTGGTGAAAGGAGACTCATCAATGCTCAGGATACCTGGAGAAAGCATGCATTAGGGTCTTAGTGCCCATTTCCCTAGACTCACCACTTAGATAAGAAGGAAGAAAGGAATCAAAGAGGATAAGGGCTACTCCCTGGTATTATGAAGAGGAAAGCAATCCTATGGCTCTGCTTGGAACAGTAAAGATGAAGGTAGGGGTGGGGGGCTTGCAGCGGTCCTGGGATGAGTTCCCCAGGTGCATGGGAAAGGGAGGTACACTGTGCAAAGACTTGAGTGCTTCATTACCATTAAGTCATTTGTTTCCGGTTCTCAGCTGCTTGATAAATGCCAAGGTGTCTCTTTGGTTGAAGCCACAGTGGTAAGAAAGTGCCCTCGAAAAACATTATTGTAATAAATAGGACAGTTGTTATAATGAATAGATGAAGTACAGTGAAATTTAGAAGATAGATCAGCTGTTCAGGAAAATAATACGTACTGATTTTTTTAAATTTTATTTTAGGGCTGGGGATTTAACTCAGTGGTTCCTCTGCCTGCCTTGCAAGTGCAAGGACCCGAGTTCGATCCCCAGTACAAAAAAAAATAAAAATAAATTAAAATTTTATTTTAAAAATTGTATGAAGTGATAATCTCTCCTATAAAAGATTTAATCATACTATTTTGTTGTCTAAAACTTTCAATATTTTGAGTGTTATATAGCGATGTACATTTTAGATCAAGGAATAAAAAAGTAAAATATAGTATTACCATAATTTTGAAAAATAGTATTAAGTGTTGCTTAGGATTTTCTGGGTTTTTTCTTGTCCTTTGAACGTTAGCTCAGAGTGATTCAAGGTGAATTAGAGCAGGTCTTTTACATTTCATCTATATTATTAATACCCCCCAAAGAGATTTTTTTTTTTTAATTGGCTTAGAGATGGATGATGCCACAGTTAATCTAACAGTTGGAGATGCTTTTGAGCACCATTGTGTGGGGATTGCTGAGGCTCTGTGTTTTGAACACTAGGGGGCCTCGCACGACCAGCAGTTGGTGCCCCTGGTTTTTATTCTGAATATGAAGACGGGGAACACCCTGGTTTAACTTCTAAGACCCATTTGTCTTGCTGAGAAGCTAGTGCTTAGAAACAAAGGTTAATTCCTGAACTGAATTGAAAACACATAGTGATCCTAGAGAGAAAAAGGGGGATTACTTGGTATCTCTAGGCTTTGGTTATAGAGACTGTGTATTAGAACTGGATGTTAAGAAATGTCTTGTGGTGTCAGTTAATCAAGAGAATATAAGTTTTAAAAATGTTTATTAGTACATTTGCAGTATGTAATGATTACATTCATATAGGGAATTGGTATATGTAATAACACATTCCAGTTCTTTTTTTTCCCCATCCCTCCACCTCCCTTTTATTTTTCCAGCCTCAAATTCATTTCTTATGAGAACTTAAAAAGCTTATTTTCATATATACAGATTCAAGAGGCCATAGTAATTATAATATTTACCCAATATCAGTGTACCTAAATATATAAAGTAATTGTTAACAGATTTGAAGGGAGGAATAACCAGTAATTCAATAATGGAGGATTTCAGTATCCCACTTTCAACAATCAGTAGATCATCCAGATGGAAAATCAGTACGGGAACATTGGACTTCTACATCAAAATGGACTTAACAGACGTACACAAAATATTCCATTGAACAACAGCCCAATACCAGTTCTTCTCAAGTATGTATGGAACATTTTCATCAAATTATATATTATAGTACAAAGTAAATCTTAACTAATTGGAGAAGATTGAAATCATGTCAAGTATCTTATCTGACCATGGTAATATGAAACTAGAAATCAGTAACAAGAGGAAGACTGGTAAATGTATAAATCTGTGGAAATTAAACATGGGCCTGAACAACTAGTGGGTCAGATAAGAAGGGCAAAAGGGAAACTGAAAAAATATTTTGAGACCTATGAGAATGGAAACATACCAAACCTATGAGGTGGAGCAAAAGCAGTTCTAAGAGGGAAGTTCATAGCTACACATTTCTACGTTAAAGAAGAAAGATCTCAAACAACCTAATATTGTACTTAAAGAAACTATGAAAAGAACAAATTAAACCTAAGTTATTAGAAGGAAGGAGATAATGAAGAAAAGAAATAAATGAAATAGAAAATCTGTAAATTAAATCAACATAATGAAGAGTTGGTTTTTCTTGGAACAAAAGAAAACAAAATTGACAAAGCCTTAGCTAGATTAAAAAGTCTCAAAAGCAGAAATGAAAGTAAATATATTTCAGTGGATATATCAGAAATAACAGGGATCATAAGGATAATTTGAACAATTATATAACAACAAATTAGACAACCTGAAGAAAATGGATAAATTCCTAGAAACATACTCTACCAAGATTGAATCAGGAAGAACTAGAATACCTGAACAGACCAATAAAGAGATTGAAGTAGAAATTTAAAACCTCCAAACAGGGAAAATCCCAAGATCAGAGGGCTTCACAGCTGAATTCTACAAGACTTTCTAAGAACTAATATTAATCCTTCTTAAACTCTTCCCAAGAACAAACTAGAGGAAATACTTCTGAACTCATTTTGTGAGGCCAGTGTAATCCTGATACCATCACCAAAGACATCACAAGAAAAGTTTAGGCCAGTAGGCCAATAGCTCTGGTGAACATAGCTGTAAAAGTCCTCAATGAAATACATCAGAAACATTGTACAGCATGACTGCGGAGGATTTATCCCTGGGATGGAAGTGCTGTTAACATGTGCAGGTCAGTGTGGCACACCACATTGACAGAATGAAACAGACACAGGATTGTCTCAGAGTGCTGGAAAAGTTTCTGAGAAAGTTCACCATCTTTCCCTTTTTAAATCACTACTGGGGATTGAACCAGGGCCTTCCCATTTAGCTACATCTTCAGTCCTTTTTTTTTTATCTTGAGACAGGGTCTCAACTAAATCATTAAGTTGACCACATTGGGCTTGAACTTGCAGTTTTCCTACTTCTGCCTCCCAGAGTGCTGGGATTACAGGCATGTGCCACCATACCTGGCTTCAACATCTTTTCTTGACAAAACTCTTGACAATTTATATATAGAGGGAAATTTTCTCCAAATGGTAAAGGCCTTTTTTTTTTTGGTACCGGGGATCAAACTCGGGTCCTTGCGCTTGCACAGCTGGCAGCAAAACCACTGAGCTATAAAGGCCATTTTTTAAAGAAAATCCTACACCTAAAATCAAAATTAACAGAGGAAAACTGAAAGCTTTTCCTTTAAGATTTGGTACAAGGTCAAAAGGCCCGCTCTTGCCACTGCTACTCAACA